CTTGGAATTGAACAACAACTCTTCCCCGAGTCTCTAGCCTGTTGGCCTACCCCATCAGATTTTGGGTTTTCCAAGCCTCTACAATAGCATGAGCCAATTTCTTTTCTTTTCTTTAATTTTTATTTTCCTTGTTTTTATTTTCATTTTCTTAAAGTTAATCTTTCTCTCTTTCTCTATGCATGTATGTATATGTATGTATATATGTATGTGCATAAACACACACACACACACACACACACACACACACACGTCCTGTTGGCTTCTCTGGCAAACCCCGACTAATACTTTGGTACTTCAAAAAGTTCATGGAAACATGGAATTAAAAGATAATACAAATCCTTTCATGAACTTGTTAAAGATCCCCTCATAAAGACACACACACACACGTCCTGTTGGCTTCTCTGGCAAACCCCGACTAATACTTTGGTACTTCAAAAAGTTCATGTAAACATGGAATTAAAAGATAATACAAATCCTTTCATGAACTTGTTAAAGATCCCCTCATAAATATACCATCTCTAAAGAAACTAGAAGCCAGTGTCTAGGCTCAGGTCCTACTTCTTACACTTAATGTTCATGTGGTCCTCTTTAAGTTACAAACCTCTTCTAGTCTGTTTTGTCATACGTAAAATGACATTAAAAGATCTTGCTTAGCCTGTCAGTGAAAGCTATTGTATTCAGGGCCCGGACTAGGGTGAAGCTAGGAGCCCTATAGCTCAAAATTTACTGAGACCCTCACTTGTAGGAGCCCACCCTGCACAAGCCTGAGAGTGAACACCTCCTAAAACTTTGTCCTAGGTGTCTCTCTTGCCTCACTTTAGTCCAGGCCCTGATTACACAGAACAAACCTCATGATGGACATTGGACAGAAAAGCTCATAGCCACCAGTTTGCAGCCTCATTAAGGGCAGGGGCCACATAGTGTTTAATCTTATAGTTGTCTTTATATTCCCTGTGATCAAGAGCTCGGTAGAGAGCCCGGGGCCTAGAAGATTCTCAGTAAATGTTTATGGAATGAATAAATATTTTTTAAATGACACAGTTGGGGCAACCAAGGCAAATGTGGTAAGCAAATAAATATTGGGGTCCAAATAATCAGTCTCCAAATAGAAATTCAGTGAGATGTAAAGGAGTATCTGTTGGGTTAATGTGTTGAGAGAAGATCCTGCCCTGGAATGAGTTCAGTGTCTAAAACCTGTTTTCCAATGTGTAGAAGAACGGAATGTGTGTAACTGACAATCAAAATGTGTATACTTTGTAATCAAAATCAAGGTCTGATGCCTTGACATTGAAACAAATACACAATTCAAAGTACAAAACTCCAAAGTAGAAAAATGTTCCGTAAAATTTATAACATTCAAAATGCTCTGCTCAGACATCTGTTTCTGAAAGGAATTTTTAAAAAAAACTTAACACAAACATTTCATCTTCAAAAAAAAAAAAGATATAAATGTCACTTTATTGTTAGATTTGGGGTTGCTATGTTACTTAAGTATATTATGTATAATTTCTGTTTATCAAAGAAATATTTGTTTTCACGCCCTTTTTTTTGGAATAATGTATGTGAAGCCTAAATATTCATTTGGGGGAATGAATTCTTGGCATAAAATTTGCAGTAATGAATTCAGTTTTACTCTTATTTTAACAGTGGCTTACATTTCTTGAATAATTGGAAAGCTAGAATTCCCTTTTCTCTAGGGACCAAAATCAAAGTGAGAAAGACAGCTGACCCCATTCGTCTACACCCAGTTAGTACAGGAAAATGAAGGAAGCCCACAGTTACCAGCTTTGTAACAGGTCCCTGGGTTTTTAAATGGTGGGCAACTCTGCACGCTCCGAGTTTACATATGACTAGAACTGAATTAATAAGAGAAAATGAGCTTAATGATATTCTTTTTCTATGATTAAATTTATTAATTGTTTAATAGATAAGTCAATTTAGTGTTTGTTTTCAGAAGCAAGAACTGAGATGTAAAAATGTCCTTAGAGAACAGAGGGACGTGGAGGAGGCTACACCCACATCAGCACCAGTCTCCTTCCTTCTTCCATTCCTCAGCCCTGTTGCTATGAAAAATCCTGCAATCTATTTTTTAATGGATCCTGTTGGGGGATGTGCACAGTAATTAAAAAATACCTTTTAGTTTTTCATGCTAAAAGGCATAAGGGGGGAAAAAGATCTGTAATCTTTTTATCCCAATAATCCCTGCTGATTTTAAAAATTGAAAGTAATAAATGCTTTTAGTAAAAAAATTTAAATAATATAGAAAAATATACATTTGAACTAAAAGCTTCCTTCCTTACTCAATTACTCTCCTCCGAGGATACTCCTGTTAATGATTTCTTAAGTGTCTTTTCAGGGAAAAAAAGGCTATGTACCAGCACATATTTCTTTTTTAGATGTACATAAATTGAATTATAATATATTCTCTTCTACATCTTTTTGTTTGTTTGTTTGTTTACTTAATAATATGAGGGGTCTTCAAAATTTCGTGGAAAGATCTGTATTATCTTTTAATTCCATTTTTCCACAGACTTTTTGAAGCACCTTCGTATATGTACTACTTACAATGTCTTCTTTTGTTCTTTTCTGGAGGAATTAAACGAGCAATGTTGGGAAAGGTGGAGGAATGCTGTGTGGAGTTGTGGCAGGAGCTGGTGTTATGGGATCATTGCGATACGTTTGCCATGGGGTATATATAAGAATGTTCCACTATTAGAGTCTTCTCCAATCTCTCAAGGAAGAGTCATCTGTTTCAATAATAGACTAAATTTTCAGTAACAGCCACACACATTTTAAAGCACTTTTGGATGTGGGTTTATTGTTCTACTGATCAAATTATGGCTGACAATGCTGTCGTCATCATAAAATGCCTACACCTTTGTCACTTTGAGATTCTACTGGATTCTACTGCTCATGTAAAATTGAAGGAAGACCAAATGCAGCAGTGAGGCTATGCTTGGTGTAAGAGGAGGGAACATGCTCAGCAATGTTCAAAACAAACTTAAAATAGAAACAAGGAAGCTGGGGGGGAGGGGCAGAGAAGAAACAAGGTGGGAAAAGGTAAAAAGGATGGGAGGAAGGCAGGTCATGAGAATAAGAATGCTGCCCTTAGAGGTCGAGGACAGAATCCAGAGGCTGACTCTGGCTGGTTAGAGCAGGAGAGGAAGCTGATCACTTAGATCCCAGTCCCATTAACTGGTTTGGAGACTTTGGGCAAGTTCCCCACTCACTCTGCCCCCTCAATTTTCCGACTTGTCAAAGAGGCATGAGGATGACCTCTGCACCCTCCCAAAGTTGGGAGGACAAAATGACAAATAGCATAGGAATGCTTTGGGATGTTAAAAGCAGAGACAAAATTACAGACAGTCATGTTTGCAGGTTTGATTTGGCTTCCCATGGTGCTGTCTACTGATCCAATTCTCTTCCACAATAAAGCATATGTGGCTTTTACAGAAATAGGAAATGTAATGTGTGAATCTTAAAAGGTTGGAAAACTGCATAAACCTGTGAAAGTTTTCAGAATCAAAATGGAGTCACTTGTGTTAAAAATAAATTGAGCCAGGGAAGGCCATGAAAGGGGTGCTTCTCATGTCTGTATGCCAGATAACAACAACTATCACAAAGGACTCTGCAAAACAACAACATTGGGGCCAGCCCAGTGGCGCGCTGGAGAGTGCACCGCTTGAGAGTGTGGCGGTGCTCCCGCCGAGGGTTCGGATCCCATGTGGAGACTGATTCCCGCTCCCTGGCTGAGCGCAGTGCGGGCGCAACACCGAGGGTTGCGATCCCGTTGCCGGTCAGTAAAAAAAGACAACAACATTGCACAAAGGCCATCACAAACTTACACCCAAAAATATTTCTGCAAGGACATCTGCCAAGCAACTGCCTCTCCAACCTCAGACTGGTGTCACCCTTCTTATTGATCCTTATAGTCAGGGATAATTATCTCAAAACAATTATATAATCTTCCATCATTTTTCCTTTAAAAACCTTTGTCTTCTTTACCTCCCTGAATAGGCACACAGTTTAGTATGTCTTGGTTATCCCCATTGCAATGCCCTATTCCTGAATAAGTATCATTTTCTTTTACAGAGCCTCTCTCTGTTATGTAGTTTAGTATGTCTTGGTTATCCCCGTTGCAATGCCCTATTCCTGAATAAGTATCATTTTCTTTTACAGAGCCTCTCTCTGTTATGTAGGTTGACAAACTGCAATGCGTCTTCAGCAGTTATCAAAGGCAGATAGCCTAAAAAAGTCTTATTATGTATTTCTCTCTTGTGATAAAACTCTAATCTGTTCTATGTTTCATCTTCAAGGACAATACGCAGCTTACTGTCTGCTGCAAGCTTGTTCAAAGGACAGCAATGTTCCTGGAATTACTTACATTCACTTTCCGTAGGACGTGCTCGGAGGCAGCAGCCAGCCACGCTGCGTTCCTCATTCCCTAGCTCAGGTAAGGCAAAATTTTCTGGATTCACCTGATTCTGTTGAGCACTGTAGTTCAACACAGTTGATTGATTGCTACAGATTTAACCAGCTAGGCTGAAAAATATTTACGTAAGTTTATGATTACTTTTTGAAAATAGGGGTATAGGTGATGGTAAGGGGGCAATTAGTCTCAGGAAAGGTGTTTAAACTGAAACTTATTCTTTTTCTTGAAACTATTATTTGCATTTATTTTATACTGAATTTATTCCTGGGCCATACATTTTTGTTTTCTTCAGGGTTATTGTTTTCTTCTGTGCAGTCCTCTCTCTGGTTCAGGAACAGTTTGTTCCACATCAGTGAGGATCATCTTGGTGTGGCAGGGGAGCCCAGGTATGGGTTAATCCGACCTCGAGCTCTGTAAGTCCAGGGGTGCATCCTGGGGGCTTTGTTCACCTGGCTGTGCTCAGTGACCAGAAAATCTACATCTAACTCCTTAAGTTCAGCATTATTTTCTGCGTTTTTAAGAATGTGTAGCAAAAATCCAGCAGTCTTTTGGGGCCACCAACCCAGAGTCCAGCCCCACTGTTTGGCCTGGGCACACTTACCCACTCCACCATTGTGATAATGGAATGGTGCTCACTGCTTCTGGAAAGTGACATCTTTCAGCTACTTGGTGGTTTTTTGGATATGCATATCTTGATGGCCTGGGAAGTTTCATGGGTGTTTTTAAGGGAGCATGAAGACTTATGCTCTTGATTTACATAATTTGGGGGGTTTCTCAGTCAAATGAATAACAACCAATTTTCAGGGATCAGCTCAAGCCAAGAAACCACAGGAAGAGCTTGGACTTCTTTCATTCTGGTACCAATAATCATGGTAGGGTCATAGAGTCAGGAAAATGGAAGGCAGAACAGCCAGATGGTGGTCTGGACAAGAAAGCCGCCGAGAGTAACTCTCTGCTTCTAGAGTTGGTAGAACTGCATCTGGGCATGAGGAGGCCAGGGCCACTGGGGCTCCTGCTTCCCTACACAGAGTGTATTAGAAGCCAAGGGATAAACCCAATGCTTCTTCCTGTGACGTCTATTTTATTCAAAGATTTGAAGCAAAATGACCATGCAGTGCGGGTAAATTTCACTTTTACATGAAAACAAACATACAGCTTGAGAAGCTAAAGGGGCGTGAAGGTGTAGAGGAGCCTTCCGAGGATGCCACCGGCTGTAGGCATGCTTTTACATGAAAACAAACATGCCGCGCGAGAAGCTAAAGGGGCGTGAAGGTGTAGAGGAGCCTTCCGAGGATGCCACCGGCTGTAGGCAGCTCCGCATGAGCGCAGTGAGTTGTGGAAGAGTCCAGAGCACTAGGTGACATGGCTTGTCTAGGTTCGTCCAGCGGGGCTGTGCTCTCATGGCCCCCACGGTCACGGTGCACTCCCTCCCAGGACGCCTTTCTGTCTCTGCGCCCGACTCTCTCGGTTAAGTCCAGGTGCAGATCTCCTCCCTTTAGGAAGGATTTCCTGAGGGACTGCTCTCTGGTTCCCATGGGTCTTTGTCACCTCCTAGCTTGCTAAGTCCTCTACTGGTCAGTTCTCCTTGAGGGCACAGTCTGAGTGTTGGTGAACTTTCTGCCTCATGGGAAGTAGGATCTCAATAAGCATTTGGAGAATCAATGAATGAGAAGCCAGTATTCCCAATCTGGGCCAAAGAGGCGACCAATTTTACTTCTCTTTAGAAGTGAAAATCAAGAGAGGATTTTGCCTAGCTTGCGGGGGAGGGGAGTGGGTTCCTGAAAGACAATGAGAGGGAGAAACTTACCCCTCCTTTTAGACAGGTTCCAGATTAGACGATGAGCACTTACACGAGGAGGTGCTTCTGAACACCCTGCAACTAAAGAGAAACGATTCCGATTGGTGACTATCATTTGTCCTTATTTCCCAAGTCTAAATGTCAAGTGATGGATTTAGTTTTTCCTGTTTCCATTTTCATCAGGAATGCAGGCTAAATAGTTACTGATGTAATAATTACATCAGCCCCAGTGTACTTCTGGCAGGAAGGAAATGTTAATTGAGAATGAAAGTAGACTCATTAAACAATTAAATAATTATGCTGTGTCATTTTGAGGACAGCACGACAGCAATATATCAATATGCTGTGATCAAACTATCAAAGAAACTTCCCCTCTAATTCCCAAAAGAACTGTGCTGGGCCTACGGCCCTATAAGGAGAATCTTGGGTTCTCTCGGGCATTTTGCCCAATTTGGATTCTTCCCAAGTTTGTGCTGTGTCCAGGACCTCTCTGGGGCCATTAACTATGTCCACGCCCTTTGTGAGAAGTGTTTAATAGAGCCGAAATCAGACCACTGCAAGTATCAGAAAGGCTCCCAGCTTCCCGTTCTGGTTCTGGCTTTGATTCTCTTTGTGGCTTTAAGCCAAACGGGAAAACTTCTCTGCACTTTAGTTTTCCCATTTAGCAATAGGGAAAACACTGCTTCTCTTTCAAATTGTTCTAAAACTCAAATACAAAGAAACTCTAGACATAAGGGGTCATTAACAGTGAGCCTGTTGCTTTTCTGTCCATGCAGTGGGGGTAAATTTCACTTCTGGAGAGATTTGCAGAGAATTCTTAGAGTAGCTTGCAGATTTCTCTTCTCCAATCTCCTCTGTTCCTCATATAATTTTATCTGCTTTTTGCTCATTCTAAGCACTACATGGATTAGTTCAGTACATGGATTATGTCCTTGCAAACCTTATTCACACTCTTGGCAGATAACCCACCTTTGGTTTCACAGAAAAGATGAAGCCTAATTTGGAAGAATTGAACTCGCTCATCCCTCTCATTTTCATGTGGATGTGTCTCCATCTCTGTGACTGTCTCCCAGTTCCAGATAAAGAAGAGTCCAGCTTTCTTCCTCCTCTCCAGAGCCAACGCTCTCCCCTGTGCCCTCGATCCCTCCCTCCACCCCTTTCTATTACACTGTGGCTACTTGGCACCACGCACATCTTAGGGCTCCCCTGCAACTGCTTTCAAACACGCCCAGGCTTTGTTCTAATTTAAAAAGCGCACAAGAAAACCAAAATGCCTTTGCTTGACCTTGCTGTCTCTTCTAGTCTATTTGTGGCTTTCCCTTTGCAGCAAGACATCTCAATTTCCTCTTTCCTCACAGCCCCTTAGTTTTGCACTCTAGCTTTCTTCCCCTTTACTCTTTCAAAATTGCATCTCAGAAGTCTGCTTCAGTTTCCCCAGCCTTAAAATGGGAACTGCATTAAGAGTACTTATCTAAGATTTGTTGTAAGCATCGAACAAGATAGTCTATGTAATATTTACCCCAATGTTTGGCACTTAGAAGTACCAGGGTACTTCAAAAATTTCGTGGAAAATGGAACTAAAAGATAATATGAATCTTTCCATGAACTTTTTGAAGACCCTTGGTATTCATTAATGTTACCTATTAACATAATAATAAGCTCCTAGACTTTGAAAATGTAACTTTTTTTCTTTTAGGACCTGTTTCCCACTTTACCCAACACAGGGCCAGACAATAACAATTATGTACGTGGTCAGAGAGCCCAGGGAAGGAGGGATGATGGGGGGAGGGAAGCTCCTAAATTCTGCAGGTGCTATAACACGTACGTTTTTATTTTGTTTTGTTTTTACCAATAAATCGTTTAAATTGTTGAGAGCTTAAATGGCTCCTTTCAGGACAATGGTATTTGTTGAGCAGGAAGGGGCGTCAACTGTTGAAGCTCTAGTCGTTGGTGCAACAATCAGTCACCACAAGGCTTCTTGGCTTGGAACACAGTGTCCCATCCTTTGATTAAATGTTGCTCTAAAAAGATTATGTAAGGAAGGAAGCGGCCGCGGCTGCTGCTGTGTGCAAAGCCTCCTGGAGCCCGTCCATTGAGTGATGCCACCATCTGGTGGCAGCACAAGGGAACGGTGCTGGGCAGGGCCGTTTCATTTGGTGCAGGGGACGGTCCTCAGAACCGCCGTCCTTTCTGTTCAAAGTGTGGGTGAGACTGGACGTGAGGGAGGAATTAGGGGAAAGCAGAGCAAGGGGCAAAGGAAAAACACTTCAGTACAGTGTGAGGATCAAAGTGCACAAGGGACGCTTGTGCCAGCCTAAAACAACCTTCTCGGTAACATTCCAGGGCAATTCCCTCCCCCACCCCAATCCCATGTGAACTTTGATTTCCGCTCATCATTTGATTCTCCCCATCCAACAGTCTGTGCTGACCCATTATTCTGAATAGATCTTGCTTCGCCTTCTAATTTCCCTTCTTGTATGTCAGGAATTGTCCCATGTGAACTTTGATTTCCGCTCATCATTTGATTCTCCCCATCCAACAGTCTGTGCTTACCCATTATTCTGAATAGATCTTGCTTCGCCTTCTAATTTCCCTTCTTGTATGTCAGGAATTCAGGACTGGGGAAATTTGGCCAAGTCATCACATCTGGCTGCTGCCAGGGAACCGCAGCCCTCCCAGTGGCCCAGGACCAGTCTCCAGCTCCACACAGAGCAGTTCCTCACGTGACAGTCACCGCAGGAGCCGCAGGTAAGGGCGACTGCCGGCTGGGGCAGCCCAGAGTGCAGCAGGAGAATTCCACAGTCCACTTGGGCTCCCAAATCCTTTCTGGAATGTCACTCTGGTCACTGGTATCAGAGGGAGTTGAATCCTGGCTAAGGGTGTTGCTATCTGATAATGTTCTCTTTGTAACACTGAAGTGGGCAATGTGGACCATGAAGCTAATTTTATTTTTCTTTTCATAAACTATGTTTATTGATCAATAGTGGGTTTATAGATCATTATATTGTCAGCGAAAAGCTTAAGCATGGAGGGGCTAAAGGGAAGATATTGATGCCTTAAACTACACTGAAGGGTCTACAGTCTGTCTGTACTGGCTCAGCCCACAGGACACTGTCTAAGAGCTGAATATAAGCTTGTAGCATAGTGACTAAAACTACAGATTTCTGGATCTTGAACTCTGCTCTGCCACTGTGATTTGACTTTGGGTGAGTTGTTTAACATTACTCTAAGTCCCAGTTTCTTCTCTCTAAAATAAGGATAATTAAACCTCTCAAGGTTATTGTGAGGATTAAATGAAATACAGTAAAAGGTCTCACTTGAGAAATTGGGACTGAATTTTAGAGAGTTAATGGAAAAGTTGGTTAAAGCAGAGAATCATAAAGACAATACATACCTCAAATTTTTTACCTTAAAATATAGAATTTCTCAATCTTTAATGTAGGACCATGGTCTTTGAATATGGATCTACTAGTTGGTGTTTTTTCAATTGTCTTTCTCAGATAAGCCACATGTATAATACTTTATCTGTTAGTTCTAGTTTTGGTTTCTTTAAATGTAGCAAGAACTTAAAGACACTTGGGAAGATACTTGTGAAGTCACTTTCTACAGTCATTCCAATTCCAAAACTCATTCTAGATTATTAAGACTTTTTCCAAACTTTTACTGTACACAACTGATTAGATAGCAATTTTTTTAGCATCTTCCCATTGTTGAATCTTTCTAAAACATTCAACCTTACTTTCAGAGAAACAACTTTCTTTCTTCGTATACTCCTATTTTGTCAGTTTATATAATATTTAATTAAATCCCACAGTTACAAGTACAGCTGTTGTAAACTGATCTTTGGTAAGCAACTAGTGAACAGAAGTAGGGTGCGGACTCTCAGCCACAGCAGTGGTTAGCATAGTTCACAGGGAGCCTGGAAAATCGCAGTTAACCTGACATGCTGGTTAAGCAGGGGTCAGCTAAAACAGCTTCTCCCGCACCATACATACAACGCTTACCATCGTGCTTAGCATACAAAAGTGCCCAATATAGGGTAGCTATTCCTATTATTATTATCATTAACCAGTTCAGTGTTGGAAGGATTTTTAGCAATCTAACAGTTTCTTCCTTTTATTTTACAGATGAGATAAAATCAAAGTGTTTTGTAATTGTGGCCTTCATAATATACCTTTTGACTTCTATAAGTAAAAGGATTACTGACCATAAACCTAATATTTTGAGTCAGAAGGATTTAAGTTTGCAAAGGCATCTGGGAGTCAGCATAAAGCATGAAACCGTCTTCTAAGTTGCCCGAGATCCACATCTTTTCAGTAAGACCAGATAGAAAAGCGTAGTGACGAAGACAAGCCCCAGGGTCTTGGGGATGGTGAAAACCATGGGTACTGGGCATGGCACACTCAGGAAGCAATTCACAGAGGAAGAAGAGTTTGTGGAAGAATGTACACAAGGATGAATGAAGCTACATGCGGAACCATGTCTTTGGCTTTGGGGGCAAGGTGGCCTTGGTACATAAGGCTAGGCCCCTGGGCTGGCCATAAAAACCCACCAGAAAAATCCTAACTCTAATAATAATGGCTGTTTAGGGGTGAGTGGGCTTGAAGGAGGAGTTAGAACACTTAGGAACTCTTGGAATCTGTACGCTATGCTCATTTGTAGTGTGTTTAAGACTTTCCTCTCTGAGATCCTGTGTTGCAACAGATGGAAATTATCCTCTTGTTTTGATTGGATTGGGTGTAAAGGACTTAACTTGCCGGAAAGGAAGAGGGAGGACCCTGCAGGCAGGAAGGAGGGCGTGTGGGTGGGGGGAGTCCTTTAAGAAGCTGCTAGCTCAAGACACAAGGCTCCGGATGAGGGGTTTTGAGAGCATGATTTAACTCCTAGTTTGTTTGTTTTTTTTAAGGAAACTTTTAATTTAAGAATAGCATCCTACAAAAGTATACAAACTGTAGACATCCAGGTCACTGTAGCCTTAATTTTATTTTGAAAGTGAAATTCAATGTGCTTCAAAAACGTGCTATCAATTTCTTGTTCTCTGCAAAGACATGGAGATGCTCCTTATCTCACCCCTTAGCCCCGGATCCTTCTCTGACTTCCATGGTCTCTCCTGATGCATGGCCTCAGCTTAGTAGAGTATGCTACTTTGGGGACTATTTACTTTCCAGTGCAGGGATTCTTATATACCAGCATGTGTGTAGCATTGCAGCATCTTGTACAAAAAGTGCAATGCTCAGAGATCCTTATCCAATCATTCTGCGGTAAGTTGGAAGTTTATATCAAGCACCCCACAGGATTCTGACATAGGAGGCATAGCCAACAACACCAGCAAGCAAGTGCTTTGCTTTTCCTGCAGCAAAGATCAAGATGAGCCCTGACAACCTGTGAAATTCAACTTGATCACAGTTTTTATCTTGTGATGGGGACATGGGGAGGTAGGGAAGGGTTTGCTAGAAGAGGTGGTCAGCTTGAGATGGAACTTCGTGTGTATCTCTCTAACCATGTACTGAATCTTCCATGCACAGCGGCTCAACTCTCACTTTGCCCTGCTTGAGAACCTTTCATGACCTTAAATTCTAGACATACCTGTTAAGAGTGGCTGCTTGGTTTCTGAAGCCTGGGGAGACTGCCTTGGATGGCTAAAGCCCTTAGCTGCTATGCTAATCTTGCAAGAGAAGTCAAGCATAAAGAACAGGGTAGTGAGTTTGTTTTCCTTCCCAGTGGAGAGAAGCTTCAGGCATGATGTTTTCATGCCTTGGAACAGAGACACCAGCTGTTTTATAATGAAGCCTGTGCCCTCCTTGGTGAGTGGCCCCCAGCTTGAGGGAGTTTTTCTCCTTTTAAGTTGCCCGTAGCCATTGTTGGGCACCTGTCAGCTCTGATTCAGAGCATTCCACCCAAGGAGTGACAGGTTCTATTGAAATATAAAGTTGTTTCAAGAAAACCCCCAGAAAGAAACAACCAAGCATGTTTTTTGCCTCAATGTGAATTTATAATCCCTTTATTCTAGAAAGAAATGATACTGCATTGCTGTGGTTTCTTTCTCTTAATCCAGTGGTTCTCAAAGTGTGGTCCCCAGAACAGCCACATCCCAGTATCATGTGGGAGTTTGTTAGAAATACAAGTTATTAGATTCTGCTCCAGACCCACAGAATCAGAAATTCTGGGGATCAGGCCTGGAAATCCACGTTTTATAACAAGTGTACCAGGTGATTCCAAGCACGCTCAAGGGTGAGGGCCACTGACTTAATGATAAAGCTTATGGGAATGCCTTCAATCAAATACAGCTAGGTAACTGATACAAGGAGAAACTGTAATTGGTGGGAGTGCAATTTTCTGGGTTTTTATTTTGGTCTCCCCTTGTAGTGGCAAGCAGAGGTCTGTTGACCAGAGATGAAGGAGAAATAGAGAGTGGAGGTTTGGGGTGAAAAGGTGTTTTGGGGGACCTCTCTAGTGCCTTCTGACCGAGAGAGCATGACCAAACCATCTGGGGGATAAAGATGTAGGGTAACCAAATCCCCCACACCTGCAGGTCAAACTGAGTCAAAGGTTTCAAAGCACTACTGTTCAAGAGGGCAGGTTCTATGAGGCAAGAACGTGTCCCAGTTTGCCCAGGACTTTCCCGGCTTTAGCACTGAAAGTCCCATGTCCCAGGAAACCCAGGAAATTGGAATTATTTGGCGAGCTTTAAAAAATAGTGGTACCAGGCCCACCTCCAGAGGTGATGATAGACTTGATCTGGGTGCAGCCAGGGCACTGGGATATTTAAAAATTCCTCAGGTGATTCCAGTGCAGCCAGGTAACCACTGCAGCTGTTTCCCTGTCATTTCTCCTATTAAAAAATAAAAACACAGAGCACACAAATGTCAGTGGTTCTAATGAAGTTGTACCTCTACCATACACCATACATAAAAACCAACTCAAAATGTATTAATGAGATAAATGTAAAAACTGAAACTATGAAACACTACAAAGAAAATTGGTAAATCTTCATGACCTTGAATTTGGCAGTAGATTCTTAGATATAACAATAAAAGTATAACTTGTTCAACAAAATAGACCAACTGGACTTCATAAAAAGTAAAAAATTTTGTACATCAAAGGACAGTATCAAGAAAGTGAAAAGACAGCTCACAGAATGAGAGAAAATATTCGTAAATTATATATTTGATAAGTGTCTAATATCCAGAATAAAGAATTCTTACAACTCAAAAACAAAAAGACAACACTATTAAAAACGGGGCAAAGGATTTGAATAGAAATTTCTCCAAAGAATATATACATATCACTAATGAACACACAGAAAGATGCTTAACATCATTAGTCATTAGGGAAATTGAAATCAAACACCACAATGATAAACCATTTCATACCTACTATGATAGAAATAATAATGATAATAATAATGGAAAATAACAAATGTTGGTGAGGATGTGGAGAAATCGGAACCCTCGTACGTCACTGGCGGGAATGTAAAACTGTGGAGCCACTGTGGAAAACAGTTTGGTTGTTCCTCAAAAATTAAACACAGAATTAACATATGCCCTAGCAATTCCACTCCTAGAACTGAAAGAATTGAAAAGCAGATACCCAAATGTACCCAAGAGAATTGAAAGGAGATACCCAAACAAATACTAGTACATAAATGTTCATTTATTTATTCACAATAATAGCCCTATTCACAACAGCCAAAAGATAGAAACAACCCAGGTGCCCATCAATAGATGAATAAACAAATTGTGGTAGATCTGTACTATGGAATATTATTTTGCCATAAAAAGGAATGAAGTACTGATCCATGTTAAAGCACGGATGAGCCTTGAAAACATTATGGTGAGAGAAAGAAGCCAAGCGCAAATGGTCACAATATTGTATCATTCCATATACATAAAATATCCAGAATAGGTAAATCCATAGAGACGGAAAGCAAATAAATGGTTGCCAGAGGCTGGAAGGGGTGGAATGGAGAGTAACTGCTTAATGAGTACAGAGTTTTCTTTGGTGATGATAAAAAGTTTGGGGACTAGATAGGAGTGATGGTTGCATATTACTGTTAAAGTGGTTGATTGTATGTTATGTAGATTTCATCTCAATTAAAAAAAATCAACAGCTCACTCATCTCTACAAAATACAATTAAAACCAATCACTTTAGCAGTAAAAGTCCTCCACAGTTGACATTTAACTACCACCTGCAGCCTTGTTTTCTAACCACCCTAGTACTGTTTTAATCATTGTTACTACCACTACCGTGACACTAACCACGTGGAATCCCATCAAAATCCCAACGTGTCCTGTGTGCTTCTGCCTCTGCTTCCAAGCTCACCAGTGTGTTGTGGGAGGTCTCTACTAGCTGTTCCAGCCCATAGTCCTCTCTCAACTTTTGTAGCCCTCACCACTCAAAGTATGGTCCCTGGACCAGCAGCCCTGGCATCCCCTGGGAGCTTGGAAGAAAGGCAGAATCTGGAGCCCCCACTGCAGACCCACTGAGTCAGAACCTGCATTTGAACTAGATCCTCTGATGATTTGAGCACACATGAAAGTTTGAGAAGCACCGCTGTGTACTAGTGGGCCTCAAATCAGGCAGTGGATCAGAATCACTTAGCGAGCTTCATTTATTTATAACATACATTTAAAATAATACATGCATGTGGTAAAATTACAAACTGAGTTTATACAGAAGGAGTGAAAAAAGTAAGTCTCGGGCCGGCCCGGTGGCGCACTGGATAGTGCGCCGCTTGGGAAGCGCGGCGGCGCTCCCGTCCGAGGGTTCGGATCCCACATAGAGCCCGGTGCCCGCTCCCTGGCTGAGCAGGGCGCGGGAGCAACGCCGAGGGTTGCGATCCCGTTGCTGGTCCCGGTCCGGTGC